AAAGGGTATATGTGTTGTTAGGTAAATCGGACCTGGGACATGTAACCCTGGAGGAAATGGGGACCGTACTGATAGTTTATAACATATTCTTCTCTCTTTTTAACAGAGAGATAAGCATCTGCTTTATATCAGGATTCCTGTTAGACTTGTGACTGTGTGTTTGTGTGTATGTGTGTTTATGGTGTTTTATCTATATAAGATAGGCAGGATAGGCAATCTTATGGAGACAGTGACTGGACCAGTGGTTCTTGGGGGCATGGGAGGGGGCAGGGAGGTGATCGGGTAGCCAACAGTGACAGGTATAGGGGAACAGCAAATATTTTAAAATCGATGGTGAAGCGGGTGTAGCTTTTATGTTTAGGTCTGATCAATCAAAGTGTATCTGAGAAGAATTACTGAGAGGTGAATGATGGGTAAGCATGATAGTGGGGTAGGAGAAAAAAAGGAAAGAAGAAGACAAAAGTATAAGTATATGTGAATTCGTTTATACACACACACACACACACACACACACACACACACAAATGCAACAAGGAAGCAGATGGACTTTGAGCCTCTACTAAAATCTTACCTCAGTACAAGAATGGTTTGTTCTAATAATGTGGCATTGTATGATAATCATCTTCCTGACATGATCACTGAAGACAAAATGGGCACATAAGCAAATGTGGTGAAGAAAGCTGATGGTACCTGGCTGTTAAAAGATGAGTGTCTGGGGTCTTAAAGGCTTGAAGTTAAAGCAACAAAGTCCACATGGAAAAAGCACACCAACCTGTGTGGTCATGAGGTGTCAAAGAGGAGAGGTATCAGAAGTTCAAAAACAAGCAACCAAATAGATGTGAAGGGCATGGATGTAGTGGAGGCCCATACCCACCTGTAAGATATTTGGACAGTCCCTCAGAAGGGCACACAGAAGGGATGGTAAATCCAGGATGTCATATGGTACTGATGTACCATATAACTATCATCTAGTTCTTTAATATTTCCTCCCCTCCAACACTGGAGACTCAGTGTCAGGACTGGCCCAGACTGACCCTGTGACTCCGAGGCCAAACACTGAAGGCGTGCAGCAGAGCAACGGGGGGAGCAGAGCAGGGAGCTCCCGAGTAAGTAGAAAGGATAGATTCTGGGGCCAGAACGTGGCACCCCATTAGACCTGACTGGAGTACACACCTAGAGGTCAAAAATGAGACCTCGATCTATTTACAACTTTTTCTTTCTTTAAAATTTTTCTTTTAATTAATTTATTCTTTTATGGGTCATTGGTTTTCTTTTTTGTTGTCATCGCTGTGTTCTCATTCGTCACCTGTTTTGCTATGCCTTGTTTGTTGGTGCATATTATTATCTCTACAGATCTATCTAGATCAGATAGGCTGGATGAACAGTCTGGAGGAGAAAACAAAGGGACCAACGGTTGAGGGGGACATGGGAGATGGGGAGGCGGGGGTAAGGAGGTGATGTTGAGCAACCCAGGGACAGGGGAGCAACAAGTGATCCAAAATCAATGGCAAGGAGGGTGTGAGAGGCCTGGTAGGAATTCAGCAAGGGCTATGTAACCAA